TCACTTAAGATGAATCTTCTAGTTTTTGGCACACAAAATATTTCAATTACTGTAATGATCATTTGATCTTAACATTTATATAGGTATTAAAGTCCATTCCATGTTTTGTGTAATCTTGAAGTAAATGGAATTCTCTCTTTAATTTAAGTGCCAAGTGTAATTGAGGGCATTCTCTTATTATTTTAAAATGTCTCAGTATTCCCTTTTGTTATATAAAAATAAATCAAATTTAGTTTAGAGTACCAAGACTGAGACAAAGTAGTGCCTATATTCACTGTAAAGATGTAGAGGTGAGGCTGGAAGAAGCCATGTCTCCTTGGGCTTGCGATTACCTAGGTGCCTCTCTTTAGCTGTTTAGTTTTTGCACATTTCACGAAAGCATTCCTAAACACTATTTTTAAACTCCTCAATAATTTACCAGTTAAAAATAGCTCAGTAATTTGAGGGGAGTGTTGTTTTCACCAAAGTTGAGCTCTTCTGCTTGTTAGCCTTGAGCAAGCTGCAAATCTCTGCTTGCCTTAGTTTCCCCATAGGCAAAAGGAGGTTAATAAGCACCTCAGAGCTCCTTCAGATCCTCTAATGGAAAGCTTTCTGTAAGAGTAAAGTGCTATAATTATTATTGTTATTATTATTGTACCTGTTGTGTGTTTTTTAAAGCTTAGGGTGATATTCACACCTAAATAAGGCTCCATGTCTCCATTGTAGACACTGACAACTCCAGAGGGTGATTCAGAACACCAAAATTAGGTTTTTAATTTTGAAATTATTCTAATCGGGAAAGTCCTGGAGATTTCAGTCTTTTTCCTCTACTTGTAGAGAAAACATAGCGAAGTTTAAATCCCATTCCTAAAGCTGGAATTCATCTTGCTGAACTTCAGTGGTGTAAAAGTTAGGTGCCTTGGTTACGGTGGCTGTCTAAGCTCTTTCTGTTTACTGGGGAAGGAGGGGAGATGGTGATGCTCCAGGTTGTAGTTTCCAGACTGAGATTACCTTACTCTGAACAACTTCTCTCTGGCTACAGTGGGAGTGAGTTTAGGTGATAAGCTTGACACAACATGCCTAAATTTAAGAAAGCTAAAGACAAATAATAATTTAGAATCAGAGTCATGGAATGGTTTGGGTTGGAAAGGACCTTAAAGACCATCTAGTTCCAACCCCCCTGCCATGGACAGGGGCACCTTCCACTAGACCAGGTTGCTCCAAGCCCTATCCAACCTGGCCTTGAACACTTCCAGAGATGAAGCAGCCACAGCTTCTCTGGGCAACTTGTGCCAGTGCCTCACCACCCTCACAGTCAAGAATTTCTGTAACCAATCTAACTCTGCCCTCTGTCCAAAGTCCTTGTCCAAAGTCCCTCTCCAGCTCTCTTGTAACCCCTTTAGGTACTACAAGGTGTTCTAAGGTGTCTCCCCAGAGCCTTCTCTTCCCCAGGCTGAACAACCCCAACTCTCTCAGCCTGTCTACATAGACGTAAAGGTCTAAATTCCTCATTTAGGTTCTGCTAGCTAATATCTTTTGTTTCCGGTGCATTGATACACAGCTGTTGCAGCGGAAAAGTACAGTGTTTCTTATAGAATCACTGCTTTTAACCTACAGCTGAGATTTTACTGTTGATTCTCATTTTTTTGCTTGTGCTACCATTATAATAAAATAAGGGATAATAGTAGTGTGGATCTTACAGCACAGTTTAGACCACTGAATGTTGAGATGTGGCTCTATGAAACATGGGAGAAGATAGTAGATAAGAAATGATTGAATTTTCTATGTTGCAAGCTTAAAATGAAGGCTGATATGTGTAGACATGGATTTTTGTGCATATGACTTCTGATTCAGTTGTCTTCTGATATCTTTGAAAACAAAAAATGCAGTCTTTCCCTACCCCTGTTAACATTAAATGTCAACATCTATATTTTGCTGCTGGTATTTATTAACTTTCATCTTTGCCTTTTTCAAGAATTTATTGCTTTAGAATTGAATTATAGCTTATCACCAGGGATATGTACGTATTCCAGCTACCTTGGCTTCTCAAAAGACATGATTTTTCTTAAATGGATTGTTTAAATTACTGAACAGTGAACCTCCTAATTATGCTACATTAAGTTTTGATTCTGGCATGGTTTGTTTTGGTGTCTGTTTTTCTATCTGATGAAATCCTGTTACAATAAGTAATTGCAAGGAGTGGCTCTATTGTAAAGAAAAGATGATAAAGTACAATTTTGCTTGTAGTTAATCCTTTTACCTTTTCAACCTGAAGCATTTTTAAACTTTATTTCCTAGCTGAAGCCAATTGTCCTTATTTTGTCCTTATTTCTTGGTACCACACATTCACTTTGTATCACATCACTGGGTGATCATATAGTTGACTAGGGAAGTATTATTTTTTTCCAAATTTAACTGCTCCTGTCCAATCATTATAGCACTGAAAAGGAAACAGGCTTTTGGGAACAGAGGGTTTTTTAGAGGATTTTTTATATGCCTTCGCTGCAACTTTCATCTAGTTGTAGTTGTCTACAATTTACTTATTGTTTGGGGTTTTTTAAACACACATAGGCATTTATTGCTTATTTCTTCTTTTATACATGCTGAGAATCTGGAGATTTGTTGCATGTCAAGGCCATTATCTTGGCTTTGTTGGTCATTTACTGGTGATAGGTATAGTTAACACTGGTGTCGGGCCCTTTGGTTTTCAAACCTGATCCTGAAAGGCAAGGCTGAGAAAAGCAAAAATAGATCTCTGCTGTTATTGCTTTGTATATAGGCAGCTTGTTTTTTTCCAGATTGTAAAATTGGTGGCTCTTACACTGACAAATATAATTACAGTATGTAAATTATATTGAAAATATTTTTTGTCTGTTTGATGTATACTAAATTGAAGTAAAGTTATAAGGTGTTCTGTTTGGAAGTGTGGAAGATACAAGAGTGAAGCTACAGATAACAAGTTTATGCTTGTATTCCCTACTGATGAAGACTTTCACACAAGTTATTTCTATGGGTAGGTGATGAGAATATCACTCTGCATGTATATACATTTATTATATATTTTTGCATGATTATACATGTAGGAGTGGTACAATTTTGACTTGAGACTATTGGTACCTTTTGTCCCAGTACAATTTTACTTGTGTAGACATGTCTATCTAAAAATCAAATTTTGCTTCTGTTTTTGGACATCTTCTAAGAAGTGAGAGAAACAAAGACCTGAAGGAACAGTACATAGCTCCTTAAATTTTAGATAACCTTTTGAAAAAGTGGGCAAATAGTCAATATTGTACTTCACCCTCGTATCTTCTGCACTGGACTGTTTATTTTTATAGCTCACGTTATATATGTTCATGCTGAACTCAAATGATAAGACTGAAAGAAAACATCCCTCTCATGATTCAGTCCAGTTGTAACTTCTGCATGTAATTTAATCATCAGCTGTCACAAAAAATTAACTGAACATCAACCAGCTTAATTTTGAACTTGGTATTCCATTATTTTGTAATTGCCTTTTAAAAACACAAAGATTGCCTTTCAGTTAGTTATCAGGACTTCTTTTCCAGTCATAATCATTATCTGTTCATGTTGCAAACAGTTTGGTCTTTAATACATTGGCATTTAACTACCCATTTATTTTTGTCGGGTCTGTTTTAAGTTTGTAATATAACATTGCTTTATGAACTTGTGGTTTTGGAGACAGGTCTGATTGGAAATATTTTGTGAATTTCTTCATACCTTGTTGCAAAACTGATCTTTAGCATGAGTTAAACAATATGGTCACTCTTCAATGAAGTGTGTTGCTAATCACAAAATAGACGCTTCTGAAAATAGCAAGTTGAATTATGTTTCAGGCACCAAGTTACAAAAAAAACACCAAACAAAACCAAACCCAATAATCCCCACCCTAAAAATCTCAGGAGAAACAGCTTTTCAGAGAATTAAATTTGAAACTTTTTTCTATTTCATCCTTGTTTTTGTTGATGAAGTCTTGGCCCAAAGAAAGTTTTGATTCTCTAATTTGGGGAGTGGGAACTCCAACAACTTTCATCCACTCTGAGTCAATAAGCTGTAGCTGGGATGAGGCATTTGAGTTAAATCGCACATCCTTTCAGAATTATTTATCCATTCTCTCTGCTTCCACATTAATCTTTGTCTTGAATTTGACTTTTTTTTTGAGCCTCTTCTGTTTTTAGCATGCTTTCCAATTATAAGTGATTTTCATTTATCACAAAGAATATAGTTGGTCCTAACAAAATAGACCAAAAATAGCTTTTTGTTATTCCTCAAGAACAGATTTCAGAATCAGATAAGCTATTTTCTCTCCCTCTTTCTTCCTTCACTTTGGTGACCAAAAATGCATATGGTTATCATATTGAATTAAAAGCGTATTTATCACTGCACATTATAGTTTTGTTTCTTGTTATCCTCAATCTATAAAAAAACAACACCAAAAAACCTTGCCACTTTGAAAAATTCCGCTGCCTTTGACAGGTAAATGTTATGAAAGTTGCCTAATGTTAAATTTATTGTCACTGGATCAGTTATAACAAAAACTTAGTTTTATTCAATCAACCATAAAGTAATGTAAGATCTCACTTGACTTTTGTAAAATTCTCTAGATAAATATTTTGTCTTGCCAAATTTAATGTCCTGTAACTTATTATTTTTGATTTAAACTGAAGTTTATCCTTTTAAGATTGTAAATGTAACGTCATCAGATATGGAGATGTTGATGTGTTAATGTAAAAGATAATACACAAATAACTGATAATTTCATAAATGTGTTTTTCTTACATTTGTGTTTTCTGTGCATGCAAAGGTTAAAATGTCTCTAATCTCAGCCTATGTTCATTAACTGAAGTTTAATTATTCATATAATGTATCACTATAAACTATAACTTTATGAGCTTCATGTAGGAGATTGCATTAATCCTTACATTATTGTACTTTGTACTTTTAGAGGTGTTTTTCACAGTATGATGACTTCTAATCTATGTTGCTTTTCTCTCCTTCTGCAGATGGACCTCCAGTTGTAGCTCACTATGATATATCAGACACAAACTCAGACCCAGAAGTGGTAAATGTGGACCATCTGTTGGCAGCTGCAGTAGTTCAAGAGCACAATAATTCTTTAGGAAATCAAGACTCAGGATCTACCTGGAGAACCAGAGGACTGCTAGATGAACTGAGTGCTGATACAGGTTTGTTTAAATTCTCTTCCTCAGACATTTGTTCCAACATCTCAGTTGATGTCTCTCCCTTTCTTGCTTTCAGTATTTTTATAGTTTATACAGCTTTAAAAGGCAGTGCGGGGCTGGGCCCTGGATGCACGCGGTGCGGGGCTGGGCCCCGGGCACGCGCGGGGCTGGCCCCGGCAGGGAAAAGGAGAGGGGAGCTTTGCTGGCGGGGACTGTGCCCTCGTGGGAGAGGAGAGGGGAAACTTTGGAGCACACAGAGGTTTGCCGGTCCAGTTTGGGGGAGGGGAAGGATGTCGGGCGTGCCATAGGGTTCCTCAGACTGGCGGAAGGGTGGGCAGGACAGCCCTGTATGAAGTGTCGCAGGTGAGCAGTGCATGGGAAGATATGTGGTAACACAGTGGGGAGAGGATAAGGTCAGGGTGGATAGCGGGTTCTTCTGGGGGGTTGGGGGTCTCGGCCGGGCTGGGGCCTTGAGAGGTACCCGAGCGCCGGGTGGGAACGGGGGCTGGAACGGTTTGTTTTTGGCTCACCTGCAGCTACTGCCTGGGTTCAGTGTGTTCTGGATATATTTGTTGCGTCCTGAAAGTGTGGTCAGGACAAAGGGTTGTTCGTGGGTATTCCCCTGGGATTGAATATAGATGGGTGGCAGAAAAGTAGGGAGTGAAAAGGCTTGCCCTAACCGTTTTAATGGGAAAGAAGCCTGTGTACCCCTATGTGGTTGCGAGATATGCTGGCGATGGTACATGCCTTCGGTAGGGTCGCCCATGCCAGACAGGTCAAAACCATAGGGTCAGATTCAATATATCCACGGGCAGTCATCCTAGGAGAAGGACAACTCTCATCCCAAACCCGGGCAGATGGAGCTCGCTTAGCCTTGTAAGACCATCCATCTAAGAGAAGGATACTCTAATTAAACCTACGTCCTGAGGACCTTGTTACCACCGTCCAAGCTCGCTAGGCCCTGGCAGATGAACCTTAGGATTAAAGGGTGGATCCAGTTCCGCGCATGCTGCGTCTCACCTAAAAAATCCATTGTGCAGGCTCGAAGGTTTTACCCACAATTGCAAAGCCCTGTAGCAATGGGCGAGGGTTGAAATGGCAGGTGAAAGGTGCACTGGAAGCCGCAGACCCAACCCTGCATGCAGGCGGTTCAGGACATTGGTCATTAGAGACTGACTGGAGATGACAGTCTCTTTGGGCAGCATCCTGAATGACCAAGCAGCCTTTTTCAAGGAGAGTACTACTTTCTCCACTCAGAGAGGGGCCTAGAAAAGGTGGCCTAACCAAAGTTCATCTCCCCCTTCACCCGGTTGGTTAACTGGGGCCAACGGGCATCTTCTACTAATGCGGTCACACAAAGATCAAGAGACAAAGGCATACACCTGCCTCCAAAGGTGTACCCAAATTGACTCTCGCATGCTGGAACATCAGAACCATGCTTGATACTGCGGATAGTGGACGTCCTGAGCGTCGCTCTGCCCTAATTGCCCACAAACTATCACGTCTCAACGTCAACGTTGCTGCTCTCAGTGAAGTTCATCTCCAAGAGGAATGCAACCTTAGAGAACATGATGCCGGTTACACACTCTTTTGGTCAGGTAAACCCAGAACCGAAATGTAGCAGTAAATCTGCATTATATGAGAAAACTGCTGTTTAAACATGCTTCAAGATGGCTTTTTGTAGTCTCTTTGTTAACTCATGCTTTCTTCTTGCCAAGATACCCCACGATAGTGTTACCTCTGCCTCAGGAATGTCCTGAGAAGACATCAAGAAGTCTTCCCATTGGGGTCTTTTAACCCCTTTCTATTGGCTGTTAACCCCTTCCTGCAATTGGTAATTGGTCACTCTGTGAATCCTCCAAACCCTATATATGTAACTACCCCATCAATAAACACTCTCTCTCCTCCTCTCCAAGTCCCGTGTGCTGTCTGTGGCTGCCATGGGACCTCGTGGGTGGGGGGAGGGGTGAGCAAGCTCTCCCCTCCATGCAGTCAGGACCAGAAGAAACCCCTGGCACTGGAGTTTTCCCCTTCCCTATCCACCTCAAGCCTTTGGAAATGGAACCCCACAATGGGAAGAATGCAACCAGAACTGGTACCCCAGAGAGGCTAGCCATACCGAAAGGCATCTCTCAGGAGTTGGCTTCGTGATTAAAAACTCTATTGTCCCTAAACTTGAAAATCTGCCTTCAGGTCATTCTGACCGCATTATCTCCCTACGCCTTCCACTACACAACAAGCAACACGTTGTCCTCTTTAGTACATATGCCCCAACTCTCCAAGCTGACCCTGCCAAAAAAAGATAAATTTTACAGCGACCTGCGCTGCCTTACCCAAAAGGTTCCTGCAGATGATAAGATCATTATCCTTGGTGATTTCAATGCCAGAGTAGGAAAGAACATTGAAACCTGGAAAGGAATATTAGACAAGCATGGTGTTGGAAACTGCAACGATAATGGTCGCCTTCTGCTAGAATTCTGTGCGGAGCAACAGCTCACCATCACTAATACTATCTTTCAGCAGAAAAATAGTCTGAAGAGAACCTGGAGGCATCCTAGATATAAGCATTGGGACCTCATCAATTTTGTCTCGGTGCGATGGAGAGATGTCCGCAATGTCCACCATACCCGCGTGATGCCTAGTGCAGAATGCCAAACAGACCATCAACTTGTGCGCTGTAAACTTAACTTCAACCTTAAGTTCAAACCTAAAAGGGGCGGTATTCCAAGGAGGAGACTCCAAGTTAACAAGCTCCAATCAGCCATAGTGAGAGACAGGTTCCAGGCAAATCTTCAAACTAGGCTCAAAAACCATTCCATAGATTCTGTAGATGCCTCTCCTGAAACACTTTGGCAGCATATTAAAAACAGCATCCTGCAGTCCTCTGAAGAATACTTAGGGTTCTCCTTCAAGAAGAACAAGGACTCGTTTGATGAAAACAATCAAGAGATCCAGGAATTGTTGAGGAAGAAGAGAACTGCCCACCAAGCACACCTTGCACTGCCATCCTGTCACGTAAGAAAAGCAGCCTTTCGTCTTGCATGCAGCAAGCTCCAACAGAAACTCGGTGACATCCAGAACAAGTGGTGGATCGATCTAGCTGAAAAACTCAATTATGCGCAGATAGTGGTGATCACAGAGGATTTTATGAGGCCCTGAAAACAGCATACGGGCCTACATACCAAGTCCAAAGCCCTCTACTCAGCGCAGATGGTCAAAAGCTTCTGACAGATAAAACTTCCATTCTGAATAGATGGTCTGAACACTTTCAGACTCTTTTCAGCACTAGCCATGTGGTCCAAGACTCAACAATTCAGTACTTCTTCCTGAAAGCCAGTGTGGTTTCAGAGCCAACAGGAGTACCACAGACATGGTATTTGTTCTCAGACAACTGCAAGAGAAGTGTAGGGAACAGAACAAAGGTCTCTATGTAACCTTTGTCGACCTCACCAAGGCTTTCAATACTGTATGCAGAAAAGGTCTATGGCAGATTTTGGAATGTTTAGGTTGTCCCCCCAAGTTCCTTAAAATGATCATCTCACTCCATGAGGATCAGCACGGCCTAGTTAGATATGGCAATGCACTTTCTGAGCCCTTTCTAATAACCAGTGGTGTGAAACAAGGTTGTGTTCTTGCACCAACCCTATTCACAATCTTTTTCAGCATGATGCTCCAAAGGGCCACAGCAGACCTCGATGATCAGGACGGTATCTACATTCGATACCATACTGATGGAAGCCTATTCAACCTAAGGCAACTGAAGGCCCATACTAAGACCTTAAACCATCTTGTCCGGGAGTTGCTTTATGCTGATGACGCTGCCCTTGTGGCCCACACAGAAGCAGCCCTGCAGCGTTTAACATCCTGCTTTGCAGACGCTGCTGAGCTCTTTGGGCTGGAAGTCAGCTTAAAGAAGACAGAAGTTCTCCATCAACCTGCACCTCAGGAAGTCTTCCATCATCCCCATATCCCCATTGGCGAATCAGAGCTTAAATCAGTCCAGCAGTTTAACTACCTAGGTAGCCTCATCTCCTCTGATGGTAAGATTGAGGGAGAGATAGACAACAGGTTAGCAAAGGCATATAGTGCCTTCAGAAAGCTTCATAAAAGTGTTTGGTGAAATAAACACTTGAAGAAAAGTACAAAGATCAGTGTTTACAGAGCCATAGTGTTGTCTACTCTTCTATATGGATCCGAATCATGGGTCATCTACCGCCACCACCTGCGACTCCTGGAACGCTTCCAACAATGCTGTCTCCGTACAATCCTAAACATCCACTGGTCAGATTATGTGATTAATATGTCTGTTCTTGAACAAGTAGCAATAACAAGTGTTGAGGCCATGTTGCTGAGAACACAGCTGCGTTGGGCAGGACACGTCTCAAGGATGAAGGACCACTGCCTCCCTAAGATCATGCTTTATGGTGAACTTGCCACTGGCTGCCACAAGAGAGGAGCCCTGAAGAGAAGGTACAAGGAGTCCCTGAAACAACATCTCAGCCTTGGCCATATTGATCAACATAACTGGTCTACTCTGGCCTCCAATCGGGAGGTCTGGAGACACACTATCTTTAACGCTGCTGATACTTTTGAGAAAGCACGCAGGATCACTCTTGAGGAGAAAAAACAACACAGAAAGAATTGTGCCTTGCAGAATATACCACCTTAGGAGTCTTTCTGCTGTGCCTTTTGCAACTGGACATGCCTATCTCATATTGGCCTTTTTAGCCACCAGCGCGCTTGTAACAAACGTGGGTAGAGCCCTCCCCAAATCTTCATTCGCAAAGCCTAGCCATGACAACTTTAAAAGCTCCCTATGCGGATTTTACAAAAAACAAGTACAGGTGCTTATTAAAAAGGTCTGATATTTATTCCAAAATATAACTCATAAAAATTGACAAAGATTCCTGCAATCTTTTTGACACTAATTTTCTTAATTATTTTTTCTCCTTTGTTTCCTTCTAATTAATACTTGGAACTTACGTCTGGAGTTTTGGTGTTGG